CAGGAAATTGGAATAGATCCCTTTTATTTCAACCTGATAAAAATGTCTATGACAAACTAAAAACATCAGAAATAGATATAACTGAAAGTTTTCACTATAAAATAAGAAGACAAGGATGTCCACTATCAACACCTCTATGTGATATAGTTATGGAAATGCTTAGTCAGAGAAATTAGACAAAAGTGAGAAGTAAAACAAATGACAAGAAAGGCAGAAGTTAAACTATCATTATTGACAAATGATATGAAGTATCTACATAGAATACCCTAAGTATTCCACCAAAAGATTTCTAGATTTAATTGCCAAATTCAGAAGTGTACCTAGATGGAAAGTCAGCTCTCAAAAATCAATAGAATTCCTATACACAAACTACAGATTCACTTAAAGAGAAATTAGGGAGACTATACCCTTCACAATAGTGTACAAAAAGGAAATACTGAGGAATCAATCTAACAGAGGAAGTATCTGTATATTGAAATTATAAAGGGTATCGAACAGAATATCAGAAAAAGGATAGTCATGCTGATTCATGGATAGGAAAACCAACACAGTGAAAAAGGCCACACTTCAAAACTGTTACATAGTTCAACTTAATTTCAATCAAAATACCATTAATGTGCCTCACAGAACTAAAGAAAAAATTGCTAAAATTCATCTGGAACCAGAACAGACCTTGAATAGCAAAGGTAAATCTGGCCAACAAAGGCAAAGTGGGGGCACCACAATCCATGACTTGAAATTATACTACAAAGCTGCTGTAATAAAAATCACAGTTTTGAAGAAAAAAAAAAAAAAAAAACGCGCTAAAGGAATACGACTGCTCTCCTTACCTGCATAATCCTAATGTGCTCTATATGCCTAGTCCTTTCCTAGCACAGGTGGCTTCAGCAATTAGAGGGACTCATTCACACTCTGCAACTCAATTTCCTCACCTACTCCTGTGGTCCGAAATTAAAATTGTCACTTTCACACATGGCTCCAACTTAAGACTAGTTCCAATTTATATAAAAATAAAATGAAAGTAGGATGTTGAAAAGCAATACAAATAATACTGCTGGTATTATATGGCACAGGAACTTAAAAATGAATTCTTTTAAACATGATTCATCTGAACAAAGAGAACTTTTTGAACTCTAAGAGACACTTCATCCAACACTGTATCGGTTGTGCTCCTTCTGTTGCACCTA